AATCAAAGCAGGCAGAATGAAGTGCAGATAAATCTGCAGACTTCATATAAGTCATACTCCAGATTTCCTTGAAACAACTATCTTTAAAATTCGTTTAATGTATACTAATTACTTAGTCTTAGGTCAGAGTAAAAAGTTAATCTTAGATATATATTGAAAAAATGTTAGTTAAGATCACCAGCGAGAATCTGGTGGTTATAACCTGATTGTTTTTAATTAATCGATTAAGTGCTAGGAAAATGCCTGACAATTTCCAAAGATCTTCCGAGAATGGAGGATGCTATATCAAAAAGGACAATGGCGGTTTTGGTAAGCCGGTGCTTTTCCGGCAACACCCACCATTTTCGTCGACTTTTCCTTTATGAGGGCATGTCAAAAGGAGCAGCAGCCTCCGATGTGGAATGAGATTAAGGACAGCCGACGGTGGGGAATGCGAGTATAAAAAGGACTTCCTCTTAGACGACGCTTTTAGCTAAATTGCGACAAAAATGGCAGGAAGATTCGGTGACAGAGGCAGGCATAGGGAGGGGGGGCTATAGGAGGCGACAAGGACTAAAATAATAAAAGAACAATGTCGAAAAGAAGTTGGGCACATAAATAAGCTCTCAGTGTCCTGTGCGTGCGTGTGTGTGTGTGTGTGTGTGTGTGATTAGGATAAATGTCTTGTGGCTGTGTCTGTGTAGGTACCGGAAGCGGATATGCGCTGCAATTGTCATCCAAAGATGGGCCAAAATGCGTGCCTAGGTGGGCACCCATCATAATCATTATACGTCCCCAGCTGTCCTTCAAGTTTTCTACATTTCCCCCAACTCATATTTTACCCAGTGTTGTATTTACCGCCCACCTGCCACATTTCCCGTTCCCGACCCCCAAGCTCGATTTATTTGCGCATTTGTTTGCCTTTGTCGGCACTCATTCATATCACAAAACTCACACCATCGGAGAATAGCGAACAGGAAAAACTCCTCCACATATGCTCCAATTTTTCCATTTTCTTTATTAATAAATACAAGGAAGGGAAGTACAGAACAGAGCGGGATGATAGAGAAAGTTACATGGTCAGAAATCATTTATGAATCATTTATTCACTCGGCTTTCGTTCATTTCGTTATCTGATTCATTCATAAGGTTGCGAAGTAAATGATTAAAGTCTTAAAGTTCGCGAACGAATGAATGATTCATTTGTAATTTATTCTTTACATTAATTGAAGTTCTGCAAGAGGTTATTAGTTATTTTATGTTATGCGTATGTTAACTTTAAACGAGTTTCTTGACTGTATTCGTTGTTGATGATATGGAAAAAGTTGATTCAATCTTATTAAAATGGTCTATAATGGCAATTTTTCAATGTGTTGATTTAAAATTTATATTCCTGGTAATTTTTTGTTATATTTTGTTTTGTTTTTATTTAAGTGTTGGTTTGTTTTATTTAGTAATATTGGCGATGTGCTTTTCTTAGCCCACCTCGTTGGTCTTTAATTCCACCTTGACTTTTGCCCTTAGCGACTGCTTCCGGTGGGTGCTGCCTTCCCCGCAGTTTCCCCTTGGTTTCTCTCGCTTTCCCCCCCATTTTGGGACCTACTCTTCACCCACTCGGCACCAGCCACCCGCTTTTCCAGCTGTCATTCAGCGTATTTCCGCCTGTTCACAGTTAATTGCGGCTCAGCAGTTAATCGTCATTACGGACACATGTGGGACGCCCACGCCCCAGGAGGGTTTTCCACCCGCTTCTGGAAAATCTCCGCCCACAACTGGCAGACCACCCCAACCCAAACCCCAACATCTCATCCCGCATATCACTTACAGGCTGCTCTGGGATGCCGTTTGTCTGTTTGCGGTTTTGATTGTCACTTGATGTGTTGTGATTATGATGTGTGTGCCTCTATCCGCCACGCCCACTGCACCCACAGCGCCCACTAATGTGGTGATTTGTGTAAATTTACTTGTCGAATGCCCATCGATTATGTTTGCTCTTGTTTGACAGGCGTAATTTTATTTTTTTCCCTCTTGTGCGCTCCTAGCTTAAATTCTAAGACACCAATATCCCCCCCACAACCCCCAACCCCCTCCTGACGAGAAAAAAAAAAGTTTTTCGGTGGCAACAAATTTATGCTCTCACCTGCTGCCAAACGCATAAAACTGAGCCAAGGGTAAAAACGAAAATCATAATTTCGCGCTTTTTACTTCTTTGTTTTCAAGCCAAAGTCAAAAGCGGAGGACAGGTGTAGCAGGTGTGTTCAATGCTCTCGACAACTTTAACACTTGGCCCCACACTTACAAAGTGGGTTAATATTACAAAAGGTTTAAGGGCCTCACTCAAATTTGTCACCGGAATGGCCCTGCTAATTTTCATATTTTTTTTTCTTACAAATTTTAAAAGAAAGAAAGTTTATTTTTTCCCTAACAGAAGGAAATTTATTTGAAGGTAGCTGGATGTGACCATGAGTGTTAAATTAGGGGATTTTTTTTAACCATTGCAATGTCATTAAAAAGAGGAACTTTGTGTTTAAAAAAAAAAGTAAAAGAGGAAAATCGAGTTGTGGCACTGCAATAAATGCTTCCATGTCGCCTGTCAAACAAAAGCAGTGCAATTGAGCAACTTTTTATTTTAGCTTCTTGCAGCTCGTGTTTGCTATCTGTGCCATACATTACCTCCCCCCCCCTAGCTTTCTCTCTCTCTCTCTGCCTATTGCTCTCTCACTCCCACTCCCACACTGACTGTCTCTTTCTTTTCCAGGCTGTCCCTGTCTGACAGCTTGCCTGTGCATATTTGAATACCCAACATGGCTCATATTCAACTAATTAGGCGAGTTTTGCAAATACATTTTCATTATTGTAATTCTGCACTAGAGTAAGGGGGCGTGGCAAGTTGGGAGGTAGTCCGGAATCAGCAAGAAATGAGTGCAGGCAAAAAAAAAAAAAAAAAAAAAAAATGAAAACACAACTGCAGTAGGCAACATGCTGGCAAAAGTTTCCCATATGCTAGAAAAGGAAGGGTAGGAAAAAAGGGTAGTGCAAAGAGAGGGGTTTTGTGGGGGGTAACAGACACCGACACATGTAGGCCGAAGCATTTGCATATGCATACGGAACGAAAAATTCCTGGAGGTAAAATGCAAAAAGCTGCAACTGCACAGGGCAAAAAAAAATCCAACTGGAAAAAAAAAATCGTAGCAGAAAAATCCAACTCAAAATAGCAAAAGAGCTCACGTCACAGACAGAGACAGAGGTGGAGTGAAGGAAAAAAAAATGAAGGGAAAGAGGCGGGAAGTTGGTGCAAGGGTCTGGTGGTTGGGTTTTTGGGGTTTTGCGGGGCAGACTGCGGTGGTTTCACACTGAAATTGGCCCAGACTGAAAAATTGAAAGGCGAGAAGCGGGCAAAAAAAAAAACCAAAAAAAAAATCCACATGACTGAAAAAGCAAAGAAACGGAGAAAGAAAAAGACGGGACAGGGAAGAGCCTACAAAAAAAAATCGGAAGTAAGACTTACACGCAACCAGAGTTGATTGTTATAAAGGAAGACCACAAATTAACAAGATAAAATTATCAAAGAAAATGGGAAGCTAGCAATATCTGACTATAAGCGTTTGTTCTTTAACGTTAAAAACTACTTTAATTTATTATTTTAACAAATTTACATACAAATTGAGGGCAATGTCACTGTGCATCTCAAAACTAAAAGCAATGTGACCTTTGCTGTTAATTTAAAGCAAGTGAACGTAATCTAGTGTATCTATTCAGAACTGTCTTTCAAATTGAATTGTCACATAACGCGACTATATATAGGCCGCCATACCTTTAATGTGATATCTAATCTGCTTGGACTGCACATTGTCCAGCTGTCCATCCAGCGTCCGGCCTGCTTTATCCAGCCTTCCTTCGTCCTTTTTCACTTCGCGCTATGCGGCGCCATTGCCTTTTCCTAAGCCCAAAACCATTAACACTTGTTTCTGTCATTTTACATGAAAAGCGGAAGCGCTTTTGTTTCTGTGCAACAAACAAGTTTCCTTGCCTCGCTGCCAACTGGCAACTCGCAACTGGCAACTGCCCCTGGCCTAGTCACATTTCCCGCCCACTTTCCCTCGTCCTTTGCGTTTTTCCTTTTTTTTTTTTTTTTTTGACATGGGTATCCGTATCCTAGATTCGTTCTTAGCCAGCCAGCGTCCGCCGCGGTTCGTTGTACAGGAATTTTCCAGCATTTGAGTCCCTGGATTTTCTTTTTTTTTTTTTTTCATAAGTGCGTTTGCATTCTAACAGCTCAAATTAAGTTCACTTCAAATATTACCAAGTAAAGTATTACCTAAGCCTGAATCACTGAAAGCTGAAGCTATTAAAAAAGACTCATGGTTTGGGTTATTGTGGTCTTCTTCAAGGTAAAATTATAAGAGAAAGGAATGTGACCATGCACTCTTAGGAATAATCCCAATGTTATCATATATCCCGGGAAAGAAATTGTGTTTTGGTTTTCTTGCATTTCATTTAGTTTTAAAGACCAGCCAGTTAAATACTTATGTGTACATTACTGGCCAGTCCTGTTGGCAACGTGGGAAAGGGTTATGGGCTTGTCATGTCAGCCAACTGGATGAGGGTTCCGCCCCCATAGAGCTCCTCCCATGGCCATGGGTGCACAACTTTTTGCACAGCCTGTCAACGTCAAGGCGTGGCTCAGTGCCCTCCATGCCGGTGACTGTACTTCGCCCCGGGCCCAAAAAGGTGTTCGGAGGAAAAGTTCTTGAGCCTTGTAGACTTGATGTTGGGTCCTCACCAGCTGATGCCCAAGTGATGGATGGGTCTCATGGCATTCAGCATTCAGCATTTTCTAGAAATTTTCGTACTCTTGGCCACTCGGTTTAGATTATGGTATTTGCATGACGTTCAGGTCTACGGCATTTTAATAACTTCAGCGCCATGTGATTTGTTTTAATGTTAAGGGAGTGTGTTTTTTCCAACTGCATCATATACGAGTATTATATCCATATTTAACTTCTTGATCTGAATCATCATTTGTCTGACTAGTGTGTTGATTATAAAACAAAGTACATTTTCTTTCTGTTTGAGGTTGCAAATAAGTTTAATCTGATTTATTACAATTCTCAGAACTCGGTTTATAGGCGTTAATCTAAATGCACACAGCTAGGCTGACAAGATAAATTGTGCGTTTTCATATTTCATAAAAGTAGTCGAACTTTTATACTCTAACTTTCAGAAGTTATAATCTAAAATAAGATGTAGCAAAGATATTCTTGATTAAGTGTATACAATTCTCTAAATATTTAAAGAAATAAAACAGTTTTTACTTTGCATATGCAAATTTAATTACTAAATCCCAAGATGGAATGATAATGTATTCATTGCTTGGTCTAACTTAATCACTGGTTTTCCATCATCAGCGATAAGGAGTATTTTTAGAAGCTGACTTTTATCAGTTCTTCAACATTTCAACAGTTCAGTAGGCTGTTAGAGCTCTCTTTGGATAGTTATAATTGTTACAAAAATGCGGACCCCGACATCCTTCCTAGTCTGCTGTTGTATCTTTTTTAAAGTCCTTGGATCTTTGGCATATTCTGAGGAAAGTGATCAATCCATCTGTGTACTAAGTGATCCGCCAAAGCAATGTGGGCAATTCTGTTCAAGAAAACTCCACCCGATGCTAAATTTGATTCCGGATACCGTGATAAAGCTCGATAAGATACAAGGTGAGCAGCAAGCCATACACACCAGACTCCAGGCAGTGCAATTTTGGCTACAGGTGCAATGGACATTAATCAAGGGATCGCTGAAGGAGATCAGCCCAGAAGTTTTCGAGGCGAGACTAAACGAGACTGAAGCACAACTTCTGGCTCTTAACTCCGATATTAAGAAAGAATTTAAGTCGTTTCAGTTAACGATGGAAGGTCAATTCAATGCCAAACTCCTTGAGGTCCAAACAATGCTGGATGATCAGAAAATATCTCTCCAAGAATCCTGCAGGAATACCATAAAGCAAAAGGATTTTGAGGTGATGTTAAACAGGACGGTGTTAGAACTGGGTTCACAATTGAAACTCGTTGATACCGAACTGAAGAGACCTCTTTGGCTTCTTGAAAACAAAGTGGACAGTCAACTTTTGGAAGTGAGTTCTGGGCTGGAAAGGGAATTTTTGAAAGTGAACACAAAGCTTGATAATCAGCAAACAGGCATTCAAGTATCCCTGAAATCGATTGTCAAAAAAGAAGAAGAGTTCGAAGCAAAACTGCAGCTGCTGCAGTCCAAAATGGATGCCCAAGAAAGAGATTTTCGGAAGATCCTTGCCAGAATCGATTCCAAAATCATCCCACCACAATTCCAACAAATCGACAAAAGATTCTTTTACATTGGAAATGAAACTAAACTGGATTGGAGCACGGCAGCAGCCACCTGTCGTAAAATTGGTGGATATCTAGCTTCGATCAAGGACCAAAAGGAACTGGATGCCATTCAACCAAAGCTCGGTTTTATCACATACTGGCTCGGAACCAATGACCAGAAAACAGAAGGACAGTTTATATCCGAGGCATCCGGAAAGAGGCCCTTTTTGAAGTGGAGATCTGGAGAACCCAATAATTATGGTGGTAATGAGAACTGCGTTGATCTAAATCGCGGAACAATGAATGATGCCAGTTGTTCTAATATAGCTTATTTCATTTGTCAAGCGGATAAGGAAATCTAAATATAAGTTTGAAAGGCATAACGAAAGTTTTCCAATGATGGTATTCAGTTTCCGTAAAATGTTTCGCAAAGATATTTGTCCAAATTCCTACAATACACTAGCCCCACTCTAAAGGATTTCTTTTAGAACTTCTTGTCCCAACTTTCTACTCCAGGTCATCGTATCCTTCTACTTAAGACCTTATCTACCTTTATCTTCGTTGGTGCACTTCAAAATATTAGAAATTTTTCAAAGGAATTGAAGGAAAAAATTATAAAAAACTTTCTAATTTGGATTTTAATTATGGCGAAACCATAATCCGTAAATATAAAATATATTAAAAAATGTTAATAATGAAAAATGAAAAAAGGAATATTTCCAAACATTTTGTGCACAGTGTGTACTTCGCTTTATGGCCAAAAAAAAAAAAAGAAACCATCATCGAAATCGAAGGGAATTTCTGTTGGTCAGCTCATCGAAGATGAGAAGGTACCTGCAAGCCGGCAGAGGATTGGGTAAGGTGGGTGGGCAAAGGATATGGGATATGGCCAGGATAGCGATACTGATGTGGCTGTGAATGTGGATGCCGATGTCGATGCCGATGATGATGATGATGATGACTGAGCTTGCATAAACGAGTTTGCCCTTAAGTGTGTGCGCATGTTGAAGGATGGGACAGAGGATCCAAAGACTCTCTGCAGGATGGTGGCTTTGGGGTGATTGGTGTGGGTGGATGGGTAAGGCCGAGGAGCAGCGCAAAGAGAATTTGTGCGTGAGCAGCATATTCGATGTGCCACACATACAGCCAAGTTATTTATGCAGACTCACATACAAAGCATGCAAAGATTTTGCATTACCCCTCCATCAGGCAGTCAGGAACCACCAACCACCAACAACCAACGCCCAGCCATTAACCCACCAAACACCACCCACTGAATGGGCTATGTGCCAGCATCAAAAGGAGCATCTGCCCGGGAGGTCCGCATACAATTAGCTGCAACTGTAATTAAAGCAATTGTATAATAAATCTTTTGCCAAATGGGAAAAGATCCACAGCCCCTCTATCTGCACCCTTCTTTTATTCCAGCAGGTATGTATGTATATAATCGGATAGTGGGTTTAGGGGGGGGCTATAGGGGGTTAAGCAGCGGGTGCCAAGTGAAATGCTAGCCAAGGAGAAATTGCGAAATTAATATAAATTTAATAGTTTGGCCCCTGGCATTTATGGAGGGCATAAAACGAAGGCGGGTCGTTAAATGCATTCAAACGAATGAAAAATAGAGGAATATGGACTTCAACGATACCCTAGAATCTTTAAAAAAAAATCTTTGCACTTTTACCCAAAAAAATGAAATTCTGAAAACTTTAATTTTATAACTTAGAAAACTATTTTCATAGTTTGTGAGGTATAGCTAACTTTTAGGCAGTTGATGGATTGTTCCCAAAAAACCGACTATAAAAGTTGTAAATCTGTATGCGAGGGTATATTAATATCCTTCACACCCAACAACATGTAAGCTGGTAAAATCCTTTTAAAATTTGGCCGCCATTCAAAGACAATTGAAATGCCAAATTAATTCTGCACACAACACTGGGACAATAAATGTTTCGAATTATGTCTTTGTTTTAAGTAGATTAAATATGTTAAACGATGAAGAAATGTTTTTCCTTCAAATTTATAATTTAAGATGTTTCTAAAGTAAAGCTTCTTCTACTTTTGAGAAATAAAGTAGGCTTCCAGTATTGTATTTTTCACTCTTGTCAGTCTTAAATTTTGGTCTTAGCAAATCCATAAAGTCATCGAAAAATTGTTTAAATGTTTAAAGTACCATTTGGTGGAGTAGAGAAGACCATTTGAATGTCCGGCCAGAAATACAGGCGGACTCGTCGTCCGGTGGCGGAAATAATCCGTGAACTGAGGCATCTCCGCTCCTCTCCCCTGCGAATCAACGACGAGAATGAGTTGTGGGCTGAGGGTCATGAGAGGCCGCCAACACCAGATCTTCCTATCGACAGTCGCGATCAATTGGAGCAACTGCGTCTAAGTCGCCATCGAATTGGCTTGCTTCTGCTGCGACCTATGACCTTTGAGCAGGCAATTACCGGATGCTTTGTTCGGGTGAATATTAATGGTCCAGGGGAATTGCCGAATTATCGGATTGCTGAGATTCTGGGCGTCGGGGAACTAGACTATGGCTATAAAGTCGAGGATATACCCACGAATTTAACATTGAGGCTGCGCTACGAAGATCTAGTGGTGCACCATGAGATCACCGATGTATCCAACTTGCCATTTACCCAAGAGGACTTCGAATTGTGGCGGGATATTTGCATTAATCAGGCCATCAGCCCACCCACTACTCACATGGTGACCCGTAAAAAGATCGAATTATATAACGCTCAGCAGTGCGAGGCCAAGCCATTGTCTCTGATCCAAAGGACCTTCTCACTGGCACTGAGACCACCGCAGAAATGTGGCATCATGGAACGCCATGGCGCTGTCTATCCCTGGAAATTGAAGCATCCATCCCCAGTGGTTCCGGAACCACCGCCCATGCCACCGCCAGGAAATCCACCCAGGGGTCTCACCTATCGCCCGAAACATGAATTCTTATCCCCAGATCTCAAGGAAGAGAAAGAGAAAGATACGGAGAGGAATCTGCCCCAAAAACGAAATCTGAAATAGATGGCAATTAGTCGACTATTTAGATAACCAAACCTGTACAATATTAAATCGCATTCAATTGTAAAATATATAAATGGTTAACAGATAATATTTATTTCGATTTTTGTTCCAAATCTATATCAGCAGCATCTTGAAATCAGGTCTAAGAGTAAAACTTAAAGTCAGCTATACGTCATATCATCGACAAAAATGAAAAGTGTTGGAAAAGTTACTGCCTTTCAACACCCGACATCCAGAATGTCTTTGATTTCGACAATCAAGTAGTCGTGTGCTCCAAAATTCAAGGGGAAAACTACTTTCTACTTCAGTCGGCAGTCATACTTCATCGTTAGATCGGGCAGATTTTTATTTCTACAATTTTTTCCAAATTTATATATCTTTTTTGTCCTTGAATATGGGAAGTCGCGAGGTTTCTATTTTGGTACTTTTAAATTTATCATTGTCCGACCAGTGTGAAGCGACATCCCGTTCAAGACAAATCTTGAAAAACCACTTCTGGGACGAGCACGCCACAAGGATTCTGTGTAAGATTATGAAGTCGTCTGACAATTCTGTAGAAATCCGCGTGAGAGCTGCTGAAATTTTAGCAGACCGTTTACGGTATATCGATTACTGGGAAGCTCTGAACTTGCCACAGAAAACTGAAATATTATTATATCTTCGAGAGGCTCTGCTATCTCTGATGGAAGAGAATGTGGAACGATTACGTAGACCCGTTGTGCTAAATGTTAAAATTGCAATTGCACAGATGCAGGAACGCAATGATGATTGGATAGCATCGGTCTTTTGCATAATACAGACTATGTGTGTTTCGCAGCAGGAGTCACATCGGGAATTGGGCGCCTATATATTTAGCCAAATGGCAGAGATCGCATTTTATCCTTTCAATAAGTATGTAAGCCGTGCTGAGACTATCTTTATCGATTGCCTAGAGAAAGCCGATAGTGAGGCACGTTTGGTGTCATTGACCAATGATTTTTTGATCGCTGGATGGATGCGTACTTTGATAGAGCGACGAAATGAAGTTGAGGTAGGAATTGGTATATATACATTATTTATTGGTATGCAAATTAAACTAACTGAAATTCATTTAAAGAATGGTGAAGTTTTGGATAACTTTATGCCCACAATATTACGCATTATTCATAGTTGGCCATATAAGTCAACTGCGAGGTATACCTTCAATGGCATCAAATTACTGGATAACCTAATGAAACATTCGCCGGGCATAGTAAGTCGTGAATTGAATAGGTTAATACGGATAGTTGTCAGCCTGTTCGAATGCGAACGTTTGGAGATACGACAGAGTAAGAAGGCCTTGGACATTCTAAAACGTCTTGTTATTGGCAATGTGGAGAAGATCATCGATCTGGAACTGATGGATAGAATTCTAGGATTCTTTTGCACTGTCTTGAGCGTGACACCAAATCGAGATTCTAATAACAGAGACGATTTTCTGGACACATGTCGTGCTGAGAATACTATTGTGGGCTCAGCTGTAGACATGCTGAAAATGCTCGTGTCTGAAATGAAAGAGAATTTCTGTCTTTATTTGTCCACCTACATATATAAGATGTTTTCGGCAATCAAGGCCCGACCTCCGGCAAACTATTGCGCTGGCATTTTTATATTTTTTGCCGCATTAGCTAAAGATCCCAACGTTCCTTGGGATATCATTAATACCTGGGAAGTTCTGGAGTTGGTTGAGTTAGGACTTTATAGCAAGGACCAGATGGTAAGACAGGCAGCCCAATTCTCGTTGGCCACGATCGTAGAGCGACTGCAGCCGGATATCATTAAATATTTCAACTATATTATGTATATGTTCTACATTAGTTTTTATGATATTCTTAATAGCTTGAACGTGGAAACACCCATCTTCGATTCTCTAATAGTGTTGTTAAGAAACATGCGAAGCGCAGTCCTCAAGGGTCATGTTCCTGATCTGATGGATTACTCTCTAAGATTTCTAAAGTCAGACTACAGTTCGATTACGGTAAAGCAGAAGGCACTAAGTGTTATCGCAATTCTCGGGGATTTAGTTACGGATTCTCTGGATCCTTATTTCGATCAGATTGTGGATATTGCCTCGTCTTGCCTATTATTTAACAACGGTAGTGATCATCGACTCAGAACACAGGCCTTCCGGGTAAGCTAAGTTTTGTTAATACTACTACAGAGGCTATAGGTAACTGTATTAATCTGAAATCTAGGTTTTCGCAACGTTAAGGCGAGTGAGCATGGAAAAATTTTCTGCCTACACCGTTGATCTTCTCGATAAGTCTGTGCGAGTAATGCAAAAGGAAATAGTAGTGTCGATGTTTATTTATGACCTTTTAGGTCAGCTTTGTGCAGCTTCACCCGATGATTTCAAGATGTACTTTAACATCATTATCGAGTACGTATTCGAGGAGCTTAAAAATGACTACGAAAATGAGAGCAGCGTTGAGGAATTTGCTTACTTCAAATGCTCTCTACATAAAGAACGTTACCAAATTCCCAACAGGCGTTCAAAGGCTTTAAATTGTCTGAAATCCATGATTGTTAATCAGCAAGAATTGATTGTACCTTATATTGAGGAGGCCATCAAGGTTTCTTTTGACTGCATCACTCGGCGCAATGATTATGATGTGCAAGCCGGCTTATCTACAATTTCCAAAATCATACTTCATCAATGGCGATTGGATAAGGTGAAGGCCCGCTCCTTGTGCTCCAAGTATCTGCCCAAGCTAACACGCCGTATGTTGGATACTAACTCCCCGGGACATGTGATCGAGTGCCTTGGCTATTGCAGATCGCTGCTTAAGAAACTTAAACGGCAATGCTGTCATTGTTATGATGGCCTGTTCACTGTAATTCACTTGGCTCTTAATCGAAAGCTCCCGTGTCAGTCCGAAAAGGAGTTAAATTGTTACAAACATCGCTTGCCCAGGGACTGGCGTAAGCCACCGTGTTGGTGTAACCACATTGAGAAAGAGTATGTCCTCTTAAAAATGGCAAAGAAAATGCTTTCATTATTTGGAGAGGTCGTGGGACCGAAGATATTTATCGCCCATGTGCAAACGATTAATGGACGATTTTTGTGGCGACCGAGGAAAAACCGAAATATGGACAAAAAGTTTTTCATCTGCGAAGCTCTCATCGGTTGTTTGGAATCCCTGGATTATAAAGCCTGTCGCTACTATCAGGCGATTTCTAAATTTATTACCCAGGGTATAATTGATCCGAAAAAGAAGATTCGCAACCGCAGCTTTGACCTGTTGATCAAAATCATGCAGTTTTTATACCGCAATCCGAATGTAAATTCCTTACATCTGTCTAGTTCTCTGATAAATGCTATTGGTAATCCTGGCGGCCTAACAGAAAAACAAAAGCAAGAAGGATGTTTGTTGGGCTGTCATATGATTTTGAAGGATAATGAAATGTTTCCGATTAACGATTTCCTGGACGTGCTCTTCGATCATTTACCATTAACGAAGATTCGAAATGCTCACTTTGCTAACAAAACAGTGGCCAAAGCTCTTCAGAAGCTCTTAGATGATGACATCGTACCCGATCGTATATCCCGAATATAAACGACTTTTTTCAGAAGGTCTTTGAAGGAGAATGCGGATTATAGTTAAGTAATTAGTTCAAAGTATTAGGTTCTTTGTTGGATTTTTCAAAAGGAGGATAGGCAGGCAGGCAGTGAGCTTAAATTAGATTTCTTTAAGAAAAGGTTTTTCATAAGGTTTCTTTCTTTCTTTTCTTGGAAAAGCTCTCTTTCGCACCTTTTGGGATCTACAAAATCAAGGCAAGGTCTATAAATTAATTAGTTTTCTTCAAAAATAGGTTCTCTGTTAGGTTTCTCAATGCCACTACAAGGGAAGGGTTTCTATGACCTTTTTCACATTTTTTTCAAAACTATAAACCTATATTGATTTTTTCAAACTTTTGGCTTAGATCATACTTTTGGGCTCTACAAAATCCAGAAATGAGATCAATTCAACATCAGGGTCTTATTTAATTTGGGTTTACAAAATTATTTACAGTAAACACTGACATATAAATTGTAACATGCCGGAACACGTGAAAGGTTTTGATAAAAATGCTGACCCTTTTTTTTTTGTAAGTGGTTATAAAAATAAAAATTTAATGTAAACGTGGCTTTAAATTAGTGGGCGGGCGGGCTGGATCTGTTGGTCTCTAAAATTCTCTTTGCAATTAGCATTGAAAGAGCAAAAATTGAGAAGAAAAGTTGGTCAGAAAATTCGACCTCCTTTTTCGAACACCTTTTGTCCCAGCGATGGCGTCACCTGGCGGCTAGCCCCCGCGGATTTGGAAGCAACTTTGAAACGCTAATGAACAACAAACTTGGGGGCAACGTAACGAGAAATGGCAAGTGGTAAGAGCGAGCGGCAAGAGTGGCAAACTGGCAACAGAATATCGTCAATAGGGCAAAAGAAATTACGGAAATTAAATGAAATGCAATTAACCAGCTAAATGAGCAAGGACGCCGCGAAAAAAAAAGGGGGTGGGCTGGGTAGGTTGGTGTGTTGGGTGGTAAATGCTCAACACAATCAAGCGACTGATGAGCAATTAGGAAATGTAAAATTAGCAAGTGAATTTGTCCAAAAAGGGGGAGAAGACAACAAGCCAATTAATTAATATTTAATTGATTGCAAAAATTCCAAAGCAAGATTTTGGGGGGTCAACTTTTTCACAATCTTTTTTTGAGGAATTTTCTCATATTGTTTTTTTTTATGTAATTTCTTTTGGGTAATTAACGTTTGTCCAGCAAATGTTTTTCTCGTGTTAACGTTGTTTTATTATTATATTTTCCTTGTTGGCTTTCTTTATGATTATGCCTGTTTGTTGTAGCTGTTGCTCTTGCTGTTGTTGTTGTTGTTTTTTTCAGGCTTCAGCTTTATTTTACATACACAAAAATGTCACTTAATAAATTTTACGACTGTTTTATGTTGTCGCTTTGGCCCTAAAAACGGCAGCGAAATAGAAGGTGGGATATGGCCATAACACGCCCACTACAACACGTAGTATCCATAAATATAAAAAAAGGGAACCGGGCCACGCCCACACACATGTGGAGGCTGGCCTTAACCCTTGTGTGTCAGTGTGTTGGCATGTGCCTTTTCCATTCTATTCTATTATTCGGCACTCTGCCCTTTTCCCCTTTCGTCACGCACATATCCTTTTCCTGTTTTCTGTTTGCCTGTTTTTCTTTTTTTCTTTTTTTTTTTGGCCTACTCCTGTTGATTCCCCATGATTTGGCTAAATTAATTTCGGGCCATTCTGATGTTGCAGGGGCTTGGGCGTAATTAAAAGCCCAATGGAAAAAAAAGAGTAAAATAAAAAAGATTTAGGGCCAAGGAGGGGCCCAGAACATCATGAGTTATGAGCGAGAGATGCTTTCAAGTGGCTTTACGGGTGAAACTCGTAAATTTGGCATAAAGAAAAAGGGGCAAAATAGCTCGCCCCGCTTGTACCGGGTAAAACTTTTGAACATTTTAATTTGCCCCTGCATTTGCTTTTTTTTTTTTTTTTTTTTTTTTTTTTTGTACAATTTTTCCTCTCTGTCAGTGAAAGTCATTTCCAGTGTTTAGAGGCGGCACATGTTTGGTATTAACCCCTCGACTTTGAGTCCTTGACTTGACTCGTTTTTTTTATTCTTTCTGTGTTTTCTGAAACAGTTTGGCTGTTGATGTTAGGACTTTTGGTTGGATTAAATGCGCACTTCCACCTGGTGACATATCTTTTGGCTGCTGTTCCTTGGGCTTCTTCTTTCAAAAATCAATGCACTGGCAAAAAAATCTAGATAAATCTTGATAAATCATAACTTGGTTGTCTTGGAAGTTAATTACATTTACATTTATTCAAATAGGATCATAAAAAAACGATCATATTCATTTTAAAAAAGGTTTTCAAGTATATTAAATGCAATATAAGGTCTAACTCTTTTCTTTCGGTGCTTATGTAAGGGAATGAGAATGAGTGGTTCGGCAAGATGGTCGGCAATCAGTGAGCATCAGATTCCAACGTTGAACTTTTGGCCAAGAAGTCATGGTAGGGAGCAAAAAGGGGCCAAAGGGGGTCGCTGCTTGTCATGGCATCAGTCAAAAACTTTGCCAGCAACTGAATTATGTCATTTGCTTAACATGGTGCCCCATCGCTCCACATGGGAAAATATATATATTCGAGTATACATATATATATATATATATGTGGTTCAGGGGGCAAAGTCATGGAAGACAAGGGGTAAATAGCGGCACATGTATAGCATAAAAATAGAGAAAACAAAAACCAAACGGGCCAGGTAAAAAAATATGGGAAATAAACTTGAGAAAACCGAATTGGAATGAAGACGATGAAAATGCCAGAAGCAGCAATCAAGCGCAGTGATATGGGAATTTGTAAAGTAACTTTGAAAGGAATGATGGGGATTTTCTAAGATAGAAAAAATATTTTCAGTAAATATGAGATATATATTCTATATTTGTATCGCTTTCTTTATAAATTTTATTTATTTATTATCATTTAATACTACCTTAATAGCAACTTAACTTTACCCCAATTTGTTTATTAGGATAATATAAAAATTACTTCACTTTCATCGACCTTGAGACCACTGTGCTTGTGACGTGGCCGCCGCCATTACATAGCCGCATATTTTGCGTTTTCACATTTTCCGCTTTTCATTTCGCCGTCGTCCGACGTTGCTGCTGTCGCCGCTGCTTCTGCGGCACTGCCTTGAATATTTTTCTTCAATTTTATTAAAATTATGGAAATGAATGAAATATCTGCTGCATCCCATTCCACCCTTTTCCCATTTACCAAGCGCATCTTTTGAGCAAAGAATTTATCGAAAATTGCAGCAGCTGCAAAATTGTCTTCCACTATTTTCCCTGCCCATTTCTACTTGTCCCCGCTCGCTTTTCCCAGTCGCTTTTCCCATTGGCTCTGATGCTACTGCTACTGCTGCTGCTGCTACTGCTGCTGCTGCTCGGCTGCTCGGTACACACCTGGCCAGTGGCAAGTTTAATAATCCGTTTCGCATTTTGCGTTGATGCGAAATCAATCGATGTGCATCGAAAATGCCCGGAAGGAGCAGCAAGATGGAGCTCCAAGGTGGGGCAACTGGGATGCATAAATCCAACTCATTTGCATGGCCAAGGAATCAAGGATGAGCCGCCGGCAATGCCATCCAATTGAAGGAAAGTCCTTGTGGAGGTGACCCCATAATCCCTGTCCTTCTCCCTCTGCTACACTTCAGAAAAATATCAGATATTTATGAAAATATAACCCAATCCAGTTCTTTTTTTTAGTATGTAAATTAATATTTAAAGTTATTTTTTTAATATATATTCTTTGTTCTTGAAAGTTATAGAAATTTGCATATTTTTCATAGTGTGAGTTGTAATTTAGTTTTTGCTAATTAACGAACACCGAAGCGTGATTCCTGATTCTAAGTTTACAAATCGGATTTCCTTTCCTTAACGAAAAATCCCCCTGGCTGGTCTGCTGGCGACTTTCTTTCTTTTCATTTTCCAAACCAACTTTCTTGCATTTCCCTTCCTCGAGGGTTGCGCCATTTAGCAGGTTAATTGCATTTCATTTGATTTCTGTAATTTCTTTTGCCTTATTGACGATATTTTGTTGCCATTTTATCGCCGCCGCCGCCGCTCCCCCTCCCCGGAAAACCCTTAAGTTTGTTGTTCATTAGCAGTTTCAAATCAGCAAGGGCTGACCGTCAGTTGGCGGTACCCAAGGGGACGGAAGGTGTAAAAAAAAAATATATATATATATGTAAAGCGAATGCTTAGCTCAAGGGGAAAGAAATCTTCTTCCGTTTCCTGTTTTTCATTCCCTGGCTGCTAATTGCTTTGCGTTTTAGTGGAAAATTCAATTGGGATGCGTTGACAATTTGATTTCTGGCAATATTTTTCGCATTTTCGCACTCAGGCAAAGGGGATTTGGCAATCAATCACAGGAGTTCCACCACGTCTATTGCATATGTTACGGCAAATCTATTTCGGCCATGTGTGTGCACATTTTTTTACAGTATCTTTCATTTCCCTCCCAACCATACATGACCGAACAAAATTTAGCATTTTTGCTAAAGTTGATATGTATATTCGATTAGTTTAAATATTTTTTTGGTCATTTTTATTTGGGAATTTTTAACAAATAATTAAAGAAAATTTTATTGTGATTAAGTTACTTTCTGGAGAGATTCCATTTTCGGCTTATAAAGATTGCAATGACTCTTCCGTGGGTCCTCATTTTGTATGAATTTCGGAAATACATTGGAATGCCTGTGGCTTATGGATGACAATTAGTATCCCTGCTAGTCGGCTTTTGCTGCTTCTGTTCTTGCTGCTGCTGCTGCTGCTGCTGCTGATGATGATGATGATGATATCCTGGCCATGTCCAGTTTTCAGAAGCAGTTGCAGTTGACAGCTTAGAAAAATCACCGCAGGAGCCTCAAGTGTTTTCCTGCGGAACTTTGATGAAGTATTTGTTGGCTAGACAAATGTGACATATCTGTGGGCGGTGGGAATAGCCTATTCTCAAACACACACCTAAACATTGCACTGTAACAAAATATGGTAATGCCTGAGAAAAGAACAAAATTTTGAAATTTATTTAAAATTTTTATAGAAGTCTTTATTTTTCTTAAAAATAAATTGAAAAATATAGTTTTATTAATTTAAAAATATATGAAAAGATAAAAACAAAGCTTGTGAAAGCCTTTCTGCAAATGGCACAGACTTTCCTCAGTGCAGATCCCACGTTGACCGAACAATCTGTCATTAGTCATCTTCAAGTGGCGTTGAGTGGAATTATGTAAAGAGCCCCCCTCAGCTTTCTGGCCGCTCCACACTGAAATTAATCTTATTTAATTTGAATTTTTATTTAAATAATGAAAACGCGTCCCCGAGAAAGTTTTGTTCTTGGGGTAAATTCCCTTTTCTCCAACGTCCCTTCTTCTTCTTCTTCTGGCCATCTTTATTATTTTTATTATTATTATTATTAAATGGCCGCGGACAGTCCATGGGCGTTCGGTTGTCGTTGGAGGTGAAGGGGCCTGGGGGCGTGGCACGTGCTACTTGTGGAACACTTTCCAATTTGTTGGAACCCCGGCAA